CTGAAGATGTCCATCGCAGCATAATCTATAATAAAAATTGGAAACAGCCTAAGAGACTAACATCAGAGAATTCAGAAAAAATAACTAAATTATGATATATCTCTCTCGGGAGGGGTTTCATTCAGGCATTAAAAAAGGACGATTGTTCATGCGAGAAACCGATTTAATACTAATGGTTTAACACAGAGTTTCTCAACCTTAACACCAGTGACATTTTGGGCCAGGTAGTCTTTGTTATGAGGAGATTTCCTGCTCCTTGTAGAATGTTAAGTAGTATCCCTGGCTATTCCCCACAAGATGCCATTAGTACAACCCCCCAGTTGTGACAATCAAAAATATTTCCAGATCTTGATAAATGTTCCCTAGGGAGTAAAATCACCCCCCAGTTGAGAACCACTGGTTTAATATTTTAAAAGTAGAAATCAAAATGACATCAACTATGACTACAAGTATATATATAAAAAAAAAGTACCTATAAGGAAAAACTTGCAAATAATGCATGAAAAAAGTGTAGTCATGCTAACTTGAAATTAGGAATATGTTAGCTTGAGGTTTTTGTTTTTACTTTGTTTTCTGGGTCTTTTTTTTTTTTTTTTTTTTTTCATTTTGCCTTCTGTCAAATTCTCCCTATAAGAAGGAAAGATGGGTCATAAGAGCTGGTTTTATTCAAGTTTAGCTTAAAATGATCTAGGACTCATATTGTACAACAAGTGTACAGCAAGCTAAACAGGGGTCAACACCATAGCACCATTATTTTTTAACTGTTGTTAGTAAAAAATAGATAACATTAATTAGGTTTTTATTAGATCTTTGAATAGAGCAATCAGAATTCTTCTTTTAAGTACCTCAGCTCCTTTTTGGCATTTTATCCCTCTGACTCTAGACTTTGGAGGACAATGAATTCGTCTCTTTTTCTGAAAAATTGAATCTCAAAGTATGAAACTCTTGTCCATCTAGATCCATGTATGTAAGTTTGCGACAAGACGAGCCCTGAGCCCACTGAGGGCTATAGAGCTGACAGGGCAGAGAGGTTGTCAGTAAAGAGCATCAAAGCATAAGCTCAACCTTAATTAGGTTTCCCAAGAATCATTGCATTTCTTTGTTTCAAATAAGAAAGAAAGCATCTCACCGGTTTTCACATTGTCAGTTTTCTCCCTTTGTTTAAACTATGTCCAAGTTAGGGAGAGCAAACATCTTTTCTCACATGCCTTATCTTGGGTTTTGTTTTGTTGCTTTGTGGGGATTAGAACTTTTGGTAGTGTCCTAAAAATCCTGTTATACTGGAATTTTGTCCCTTTTTTCCATTTCACAAAGCGACTTCTATTTCAACCTATACTATCTTGAGTTCAGGTTTCATGAGTTTACAACTGTAAATTCATATTTGATCTTAAGTGTCCTAAATTTACCTCTTTTGGATTTCAAAGAGTAGCCT